AAAAGCCCATAAAGTTGCCCAGTCGAAGATAACCGGTGACTCATGGTCGATCTGTAATATCGCGCCGGATCGAGAAGCGCGAAGGAGACAATCGATGCGGGAAATCGGGGGAGAAACGGGCTCCGAGCCACCTAGATCCCCTTCTCCTTCGATCTTTTATTCATGACGCACACGCGCCAACCTGCTTTGTCTCTTCCGACACTTTCCTCTTTCTTTCTTTTTTTTTTAACGTTATTCGCCACCATGTAGGTATGTATCTCGGAAATCTACGTTGCCTCTGCTCGCGGAAAAACGGACAGATCGACAACGTTTCTCTCCTCCCTTCTGAAGCAGTACGAATCGCGGCCTCACGCGTACGCGACGCGAATGTTCCACACACTTTATACCCTATAAACACGCTGGGTCTTCGTAAATCCACTCGAGATATTACATAAGTACTTACATACGTACGTACACATGTATATACGAGGGTGGAGTACGATGAATGAGAAATCACGTTGCAGAGGTTGCGCTATGCATCTCTACGCACGATCTGCGAAAGTAACGTCGAGCGGAAATCCAACGTCTACCTTTTCAACTATTTATACGAATAGATATATCTTATCGCCAGAAATTACACAGAGGATGATGTATCCTATTCAAGCGTGTACAACGAATAACGCATTAAATTTGAAATATATGAAATTACCGTTCAATAGGAAACCTATTGCTTCCCTTACCTAATTAACGCGATATGTAACGGTATTAGTTGGAAATATTAGTTCTAAAATTGGGTCGTATCGTAATTACAAACGCTGATTGATCGCGGAGCACAATAGGAATTAGATTCGGCGGAATTTAGCGTTGAAAATGATAGTCTCGAATTGGGAAATTCTCTAATCTTTCGTTTACATTTTTCAACTCTCTTAAGGGTTTCTTAAGCCGCCATTATGGTGTGTAATAATCGTGTAGGTTTACGAGACTCGGTCGACTTTTACGAGTCACGCGCCACCCGGGTGCCCCGTTTTACAGCTCGAGAGATACGATGCTTCGTATTAGTTCATTGCTATAGATTAAGCACAATGGTTAATAATATTAATGAGGAACGGCGGTGTCCGGTTTACGTTTCGCTCCGCGAACGCATTCTGAAGTCCGGCAATTACATAAAAGGAGCCTCGTTACAACGAGCACATAGCCGTTTTACTAGCGATAAATTTCATTCCTCGACAACCATAAACCACTGTACGTATGTCCTAAGGGGAAGTGCAATTACAAAGCAATCCATTCGTCATCCTAGATAAATAGTGCACTCGCCAATTTCAATACTCCCGATAGCGACGTACGCTTCGAGCATTTTTACAAGGGGTGCACCACCCTGAGCCATGTAAAAGTAGAGCGAAGTTTGGGAATTTTTTTCGTAGCTAACTACTGAATGAAAAATTTCAATTTTTTCACAGGATATAAATGTGACTTTCAACTTTCTTCTCCGATTTTTTAAAAGCGGAAATGTTACAGCGTGGAGCAATTATTCGCTAATTGCAAAACCTATTCTGCTGGAACGTCTGAAATAAAAAATTCTTCTTGATACATAAATGAAAATGTATTGTCTACAATGTGGCGCAAGATTTTTCAGAGGAATGGTGGCAGTTTGAAGAGGGAAAACCTCTTTATACCAAAAAAAAAAATTAAATTTGAACGTTTCTAAAAAATTAAATAATTGCCACGTCGATAAAATCGTAAACTACATTGTAGGTAATACATTTTTATTTATAAATCAAGCAAAATGTTTTATTTCAGACGTTCCAATCGATGGCCAGCAATTGATGTTCTACTAGAAAAGGTTTCGCAGTAACTCTTCTATTTTGGAACAATTTCACTTTGTAAAAATTAGAGGAAAAAGTTGAAATTTTCGAAAAAATCGAAACCTTTCATTCAGCAGTTACCTACGGAAAAAGTTCTAAAATTTTTCCCTATTTTCCGAAGATTCAGAGCGGTGTGCCCCCTTAAAGCTGCGCTCGATCACGATCGCGAGCCATTATTCCAGGCGAGACATTAATTAAATGGTGAGCCGATGTTATCACGTGGCCACGTTCACACGTGCAGAGAGAGAAGCCTGATTAATGGAACCCCAGTTGAAACCGGAAAAAGGAATTATTTTCCCGCGTTTTTTATCTCCACTGTGTAACGAAGATTTCTCTCTACTCGTTTCCTGTTTGTGTAAGATTGTACATGGAGAAGAGTGTGTATTTTTTCTGATTGGTGTAGGTGTCTCGCCGAAGGACCTGATGTATATATGTTTGTGTCTTGAGGAGTGAGAGTTAAGGTTCGTAAGGGTTTAGGTATACCGAGGGCAGGGTTCGTGGGTGAGACAGAGTTAGTCAGGAAAGGACGAGTTCATAAGGTCGAGGTTCGAGGATGAGTGGTAAGAAAGCCCAAGAAAGGCTAATACTTAAATCTAAGGCGCGACTTAGACTAATAGATACTGTGGGTATACAACACCTATGTAGTATAAGGAATGCGAGATTTCGGCGGCGAAGTGGTGGCCTGGACTTTGTCACCCAGAGAAAGAGCGTGGGTACCTGAGGGTGCCATAAACTAAGCCCTTTCCCCGGAAAGTCGAACGAGGGGGCTCCAACGGTTTTTCGGAGCAACGCAGGATAGGACGCGGAGAGGACACTCTCACTATAGCCGTCGAGCGAGACGGACACCCGAGTACCTTAGCCACCGCTCATATTCATAAAATAATACATTTTGGTTAATAGCTTATCGTGTGTTCGTTTTTTTGAAGCTGTGCTAACAGTAGGTTAAAACTATCGCGTTACGGAAGCTTGCGCTCAGGTATGAAACTTTCACCTGTTTCCTTTGTAGGATGTCTGTTACGCACGTGACGTCCTAAACGAGTTGCAATGCGCCAGACAAAATACGCCCTATCTACCGTCTTTGATGAGCGCGAAAAACGAAACGTACGGAGCAGGAGGAGCTGGTAAAAAAAGTTCCAAAGGTACGCGGACAATTTAGGAAAAGCAAGTAGCAGGATGATTGGTTTAATAGATAGCGCGAGCAGGATGGCAGACGGTGACGCGTAATACGTCGCAGCAATTCATTATTCGGCTCGTTTATACTGGAGTGTTCTCGTCGATCTTCAGGGCCGCATCAGAAAATCGCGAAACCTACTTGCCACGAGCGTCGAGTGGCACTCGACAAAGACAATTAAGGCACGCGAGTGCTGCCCCCGGTCTCCTTTCCGAAGAGCGATCGTCAGGAACACACCGACATTCGAGCTACACATTCAAGCTATACGCAGCTAATGATGAGTTTGGCCGGTCCACGAGCTGGCAGAACGGCAATTATGGTAATTCAGAGGGATTTTCATCGAGTTGTCGTGCAACCTACCGTTCACCTCTCTCTCTTGAGCGCCGCATTGTTCTCCGAATACACCCTCTCGCTTTATCGTTCCACGATAAATAGGATCCAACTGTTGGCGGTTCAAGTGCTCCACGACCACTTGAATCGACTTAGAAACTTCACACGGTTCACTTCATAACGCTCCTTTCGACAATTCTTTCGCGAGATCACGTTCGGAAATAATTCACCGGACCGTATATATTCGGTCATCTTATAAGCTCGTGGTGAAAGTGACAAATATTTTTATGAAAGTCCAAGGAAATTCTAGAGCGACGCGACATAATGGTCTTTGAAAAGAAATTGGGAAATGTTGTGGAATAAGAAGAAGCTTACGGTTTCCTTTTTTATGAAACTTTTTATGTAAATTAGAAAATTCGATACGAACTTATGGAACCGAGTGTTCAGACCGGAAAGATAGACATGGGAATGCGAAGTGTTTGGATCAGAGAGATAGACCAGAGAGATTTTTCGTTTGAATGTTTAGCCTAGTGTGACGGACTGAGCGTGAGCACTTCAATACAGGTTTTACACTCCAAATTAACCCTTTTGCAGTTCATATTCACCTTTTCGCAATGTGAATTAACATTTTTGCTGATCACATTCACCCTTTTGCAAAGCAAATTCACCCTTTTGAAAATCATATTCACCTTTATGCACTGTAAATTAACCTTTGTGCCAATCAAATTCGCCTTTTTGCAAAGTAAATTCACCCTTTTGCAGATCAAGTTAACCCTTTTGCAGCTCATCTTCACCTTATTGTAAATCAAATTCACCCTCTCACAGATCAAATTCACCCTTTTGCAAATCGAATTCACCCTTTTGCAAATCGAATTCACCTTGTGGGTGACTCAAAAGTGCCTTTAGAGTGCTAGCTCTCACGACCGCGCAAGTAATTACGAATAAAATCACAAAAAACGACAAAATGACAGCATTACTTCACATTTGAGTCACCCAGAAGGCGAATTTAATTTGCAAAAGGGTGAATTTAATTTGCAAAGATTTGAATATAATCTGCAAAACGGTTAATCTATAGTGCAAAACCTGTATTGTCGAATCCGTGTATTCAACGCTCTTTAGAGGCTCACCGATCTAAGTTTCATTCCATCGTTCCAAGTAATAATAATTATTATACAATCTATCATTCGCACAATATGAACCACCGCTTGAATTATACCCGTACACATCTTTCTATAACACGATTTCACGTTTATGCGTGAG